CACGCTACTGCAAAACCACTTCCCCTTTTCTGGTTCTCGTGACAAGCAATACAACATACGAACTCCTCCTCTTATATCCATCATGTCCTGCCAACATCAGTATCTTTGGTTAAAGGGCAGTGCTGATGTGTGCCAGATCAAGGGCATTTGCTTCCCTGATATTTCAAGACCAAAATCTGGGACCATAGGCTTGTCCCTTGGGATGCCGCTTCTGGGCCAGCTGATTGTAAAAATGGAAAGGAGAGGAAGTTAAGTAAATTGGCCCAGAACCTGAGTAAAGTCTGATTATCCAGGTAACACAGCAACCCAGAACATCTGGACAGGAGGCATCAGGTGGCCGTCACCTGCTGCAGCTGGCGTGGTTCCCACTGTGCCAACTGCAGCATCCTACCCAAACACAAGACACTTGTCCTTTCAGGAAAGTTCATTCCCAGCTCATGGGCAGGGTTTTTTCTTTTTACCCCCAACTACTGTTCTGCTAGTGCCAGGGCTTATGCAGAACACTAGTGTTCTCCTCCCTGACATGACACAGGGATCTATACCCACCAGTCTATACCTCCCCAGTCCTGGCTTATTGATGCACTAGTGATTCATAAGCACATCACAGATACTGTCACAGTGAATGGCATCAGTTAGGAATCAATAGGTGTGGATGTCCAGATTCTGAAGCCACTTCACATGAAAAAAATATCTTCCTCTGATACCACTTGTCTTGAGATTTGTCTTGTTACTTGCTAACCAGGGAAAATAAAATACAGTAATTAGCCATTACCCTGAGATCTAGCAATTGTAGGTAGGAAGGATTTTTGCTAGTTAAAGCCTAAAGACCTCTTAGGAAGGGGGAAATGGGGAAAATATCTAGTCTTTGGTGAAAAATTAAGACCTCCTATCTGCGTGGAGAAAGGAGAGGCTTGGAAGAGTAGAGACCCTTCCTCACAGGTCACAGGCCATTCGTCTGCTGTTAGTTCTTCTCCCCTACTGTAATGCCAGTAATGCAGGCAGCCATTGCTGGTCTTCTTATCATAACCAGATGGAATGGATGACACAAAGAAGGAGGTCACTCAATGAATAGGCTTCACTCCATCACATTTTCCCCTCTTCTACAGCCTACTGGGATGGTTGCTGGATAACAATTGGAGGGGATGAAGTTGACTTCTGAGCAGAAATGATGTTTTATTTTGTTGCTCTGTTCTTCTGCAATCTGCAATTCTGCAGTGATGGTTTTTGTATGACAGTGTCTATGGGTCTACCATCCCACCCAAAAGCAGACTGAGATGCTGCAAGGAAAACATGGTCAACTTTTTAAAGGCCATTTCCATCCTGAGTCATGCAATGGTGAATTCAAAGTGCTAGATACTACCTACGTAGTAAGAAATTACAATATGGTCCATGGCTACTATTTCAGGGAAATGGAAAGGACTCAGAATCAACATTACAAATTCTGCTGTACCCATTAGCGATGAGAGGGAGAAATTTCACTTAGCATATGTATGCTCCATCTTGGGGTTTTAGCATCATTGGCAATAATGCTGTGCAGTAGTATGTCTTACTCTCACACATCATTAGGTCTAAAATTAAATGCATATATGTTTGCACCAGAAGACAATGCTAATGATTAATCTATTTTTATTTAGGTCAATAAATAAACATTAACATATTAGTTTCTATGTATATTCAATTTAACAGAATCACAATGATTCTGTTCTGAGGATCTCTGCAATGTGGCACTGACATGTTGGAGAGTAACACTGTGCCATTGGATCCTTTCAAACTAGGTCTGGATTAGCTTCCCAGACATTGACCCTTCTCCAGCAGAGACACCGCACAAGGTAGCCCATAGACACATTTAGGCTGAGATCTGCATTCAAGCTACACCCGTCCCATTCTCACTCTGTGTATGTGGAGAATGACCATTGGGAGAGAGAAGAATTTAAGGAGGTTGCCCATACAAGCTAAAACCCAGGTTCCAGACTGTGTGGAGAGTCTCCATGCTTAGCAGAAGCTCTCTTCTTGAGATGATCACTCTTCGCATGAAGAGAATGTTGGTTGAAAAACACAGCCAGCACGGCCCTCCTCCTTCTCCTCACGTATGTCTTGTGAGTGCTTGAACAAGACTTCACTCACATTAATTTCAGTTGACTCATTTCTGTTTACAGTAATGCAGCTAGATAATTTTATAACTTGGACCTCATGGACTTGTTGTGAGGGGCTCTTTTAGATGGCAAGATGTATTCAGTGGTAGAATACAAAATAACGTATCTCTTCTCCCCGTCTTCCACTATCATTCCATGCTTTAATACTGTTCCTATATACCTGGTGAATTGGAGCAGCCTCCTGCCCATAAGTAACACTCTAAGGATGTGCAGTTCCACATCTTAAACTCACTTAAATTTTACCACCATAATGATTACAGGAATAAAATGGAGTTTGCCTCTGGTGTTTTGAAACTGAGCCCATGGGGGAAAGCATCATACTTGAAAACAGGAATCATTTTCTTTGTCAAAACAGAAAATACATTTTAAAATAAAAATAATATGAGGGGCATCTGTAGATCCAATCAACTGCCAAACAAGTATAAATTATATATATTTAATGAAAAGAAAACTACCAGTAACATATAGTTCTTATACAGCACCTGGAATACTTTTTTTGGTATTGGTCACCACGCCTGGAAAAGGATATGAACTAGAAAAGGTACTTTGAAAAGAAAACAAAATGAATAAGGGAAATAGAGTAACCCCCCTATTAGGAAAGGTTACAACACTTGGGGCTGTTTTACTGGGGGTGGGATTGAGTAAAGGGGAACATAATAGAGGTATATAGAATGATGCATGGTGTAGATAAAATGGAAAGGAAGAAGCCGGCCTGCATTTTTCATAATACCCTGAGTCGTTCACCATAACTGAATGGGCGAAGACTCAGAAAAAGATAAAGGGTAGCACTTTTTAATGTCATCACCTTCCATTTTTTTTAATGGCTATCTGGGGATCCCCCGAGATTATGGCTGCCAGGGGATTCCCAGGCAGCCACCCCAATAATGGCAGGTGATTGGCATTTACTGCTGGGCATTCACTCCCTTATTGGTAAGTTGGAGAGTAAAACCCACTTACCAGTATGTGAAAACTATGAAGCACTTTGGACACATGCAACTACTATGAATTAATAACATAAAACGATCATGTTCCAGCTTTAAAAAGAAAAAAGTTTTCTGTGTCCTGGATGTTTGCCCACCTTCTTTACTTCAAAATATGTCAGCATTTGTTCCTACCGTTTTTGCTTCTCTCCTTCAATAATGAATGGTTGCCATCACATATTGGATTAGGAAACAGATTATTCCCATGGTTTTCTAATATGGGAAAACAGCTTTTGTGCTAGACAATAAAGCTAAAAGCATGATTAAAGCAGTGGCAGCGTATGCCTCCCTCTCATACCCCATTAAGTCTAAAATTAAATGCATATATGTTTGCACTGGAAGACAATGTTAATGATTTATCTATATTTTATGTAGGTCAATAGATAAACATTAGCTTATTAATTTGCTATGTTGCTGTCTGCTTGTATTCAGTTCATTGAAAGAATTTTTAACACATAGTAACTGGATCCAAAACTTCCTGTATTCTCACATATATACGCGTAGGATGGGCAATTTTGGCTAGGGCATAAATAGAGATCCACAAGCCATTCTATAATGCAATAGCTGTTCCAGGTTTTCAGGGGACTTCAGCAAGATGATCTAACTACTGTACTTTCGCAAACTGAGATGGAACCACATTTTTCGTCTCACTACTGCTGAGGCAATATGTTTGTCTCTTCCTCTGGAACCAGCTGGAACCATCTCCCAGCGAGAGCCCTGAAGCCCTGAACTGCTTTCAGCTTCTTCCCTTTGCTCCTTTTCATTACTGTAGTGGTAAATTTGTAAGCATGGGTACTTATCATGACAATCCAGATAGGCAGCCAGCCCCCAATAACCGAGCCTTCAACCATCCAGGCCGGTGGACTGGTGGATATCAACAATTGGCAGGGGAAGTCTCTTTCATGTTAATGGCTCTTAAACATTCAAAATAAAACTGTCCTCAAACGTAAACAGTTTGCAGCAATATACTATTCCTGGGAAAATCCATTTCTCTCTCAGCTACCAAATGGATTGCAGTTAGGTTTAGAGGGAAGCCTAAAGAAGACAAAATCAGAATCCCTGCTACTCAGAAAGCCATGGAACGTTGACTCTGCAAGCCCTTGGTCCACTACACCACTGCTCCTCTTATTGTTTGCTTGCCCACTTCAATTGGGAGAGAGCAGGAGATTTAAGCAGGAAAAACAAGAAAGATGAGTGCATGGTTCCAGGGGCTGGTAGTGAGTCCTCTGTTGTGATGTGGTTTAGCAGGTGCCCAGCAATGCCAACCATTGATGCCAGCCCTGGGCTTAGGCCAGATGTGTAGGCATGTTTGTGATGGCACTAGTTATGAGTAACACTGGGGACCAATTATTCTGGGTATTAATTTATTCAAAATTCTTTTTCGTAATAGATACCAGAGGCTGGAAACCTTTATTTTTGAACTAAGGTGCCCAGAATCACCCAGCCAATGCTAGCAGTGGCCATTTGTAGGCATTAAAGGCTCTCACACACATCTAAGGCTTCCCAAGTCTTCCTCAGGTAGAAAAGGATCCTTAGGAAGCATCGGAACCTGAGGCAAGAGGGACAGGAAACTTTAAATTAAAAATTAATATCCACGGGTGATGACACAACGAACCTTTGGACACAGGGAATAACCTGGCAGAATTTCAGCCATTGAATTCCATGTTCTGTCCAGGTGGCCTTTGTTTTCCTGGTCATAATTTAGGTCTTGTCATCAAACATTTTGACTAATGTATTCAACCCCAAACATGTGATTTACATGCATCAGAACTACATAAAACAAATGGGTATTTTTCTCGAACTATTCTCAATGAGTAGATGCTGTGAACATTTGTTATTCTCTCTCCTCTGGAAAAACGCTTTCAAGAATGGAGATGCAACTTGTTGCATTGGAACTGATGTAATGCCCATGATGTCAAGTTCTTTGTCCGGTTCAGTTATTTCTCACTGGCAAAGCATCTTGTTAAACTTGCTGTGGAATTCTTGCCACACAGAAGCATCAGTGAACATGGCGGAATATTCATGAATGGCCCAATTCTTCAAGCACTGGGTGAGGTTCTCTCTGCATTTTGATACTTTACGCAAAAGCCAGTCACTATGATTTCACAGTTTTGTCTACAATGAGTATTGGATTTTGGCTAACCTGTACCAGGATCAGCATGTATTTACAGTGTAACGACTGGGGCTAGAGAACATTAGGAAAGGAGAGAAAATCTATCTGATCCAGTGGGACCAAAAAACATTAGATCATTGTATGCAGTCCAGATCACAGTTTGCCATGGCAGACAATGGGTGTAATACAGACAGATGCCAATAGAAAAAAAATTATTTCCAGATGGCTCAAGCAACAAAGCCAAGCCATATGTTCCTGATTTGGATATGTTCTATTTAGGAGATGTTTTTTAAGTACAAGCCAGCCTGATCATTTACAAATGTAGAATCTTTTTTTCCTCCCTAACTAATTTGTCCATCAGGAAGAAATGTCTGTCTTCCTGTCTCTCTCTCTCTTTGTCTCCATGACACCTCCATTTCTTATATAGATATCATGCACTCGTAGCCCTAAGATGGTCCAGACAGCTAACAAAATTCAGGTTGCAACCCCTACTGCTGGGACAAGCATGAGTCATTCTGTCATTTGAAGAGAGCGGACATAACAATCTTGTACTTTTCTAGATTTATTATCTAGTATCCATTTATTATTCTCTAGTAATATATTGAAACCCTTTTAAAAAGCTGTCAATGTTGGTGGTCCCCATGACATCCCCATGGATATAAATGCCATAATTGAATGGAAAGTGCCATATAAAGATGTACTTCTTTTTAATCTGTCCTGAATCTCCCACAAAATAGTGTCATTGAATGACCCTAATTCTAATGTGGTAAGGGAGAAAGAAAGGGTGTTTTTCCCTGTACCCATTTTGTGCCCCCTTCACCATGTCCCCCTCTGCACTCAAGAATATAGCAAAATAAAGAAAGCACTCATATTTCAGTTACAGGAATAGCCTCAAAAGAATTTGTTGTAGCAAAAAGAAGAAACGCCAAGTTTGCAAATCAAACTAAAGCAGAATGGCTCTTTTGCTGTTCATATGCTTTGAAAGATGAAAGACACAGAGCAGTTTAGTTTTCCAGCCGCCTACAATGTACAGTACATTGCATAAAAAATGTCAGCCTTGATGGTGAAGTTCAGGATAAAATGGTGTCAGCTAATTTAATCATTTACCATGAAAATACCAGTTATCTTAATCTTACACCAAGTTCTTAAGGCCGATGCACACTTTGGCGTAATTGAATCATGGCTCTGAAGAAAGGAAGGAATCACGGAAGAATTGTGAAGCTGAGCTCTTGAATGTTAGCTAAGCTAAAAATTGTGCTTCTTAGAGAAAGCAGGGCAAGGAGAACCTTGAAATTCCAGTTTAGAGATTATGTACACATGGTGTTTTTATTCTGTAGATATTAATACCTCCGCCAAGTCTTGGCTGATAAAGTGGCGCGGAGAGAGGAAGAGTGTTTTGGAGCGTTTTTAAAACAATAGGCAACTTGGAGTGCCAGTGGCCAGGCTGGATGTGGGATTCTGGGAGTCATAGTCAAAATAATCCCATTCCCAAGATCTGACACAGTATAGGGGAGGATCTAGTTTTGTTCTGGGGACAGAACAGAGCAAGAACTTGGGGTATGTGTAAGCCAAACTGACTGTTTCTCCATCTGGTTCACTCCTCATCTAGATGCCTGGTAAACTACTGCAGCCGCAACCTTGAAACAGCCAGGATGTCTTCATTTTCCATCAGAGCGAGAACCGTATAGCACTGAGACCAGAGCATCTGTGGTTGCACGTCCAGCCAGTCAGAATCCATGAACAGCTGCCAGGAACCGAGCAGCAGTGGAGGAGAGGAGATGCAGGAGGCAGCCAAAGCCTAACCTTGAAGCTCTTTTTTTTCTGAGTGGAGCAGAATGAGATCAGGGCAGAGGAACCCCCAGCACACAAGAAAACTAAACAGATTGACTCTCAGTGACTCATTTAGCTTCAGGATTGGACAGATCTCTCCCCTGCTGGCAATTTGGCTGAGCATCAATGGGCCAGATACCAGGATGAATAGCTTAAAATAATTAACAGGAGGGAGGGATTGAAATCTGCAAAACTGCTCGCCATCCAATTCTTTCCCATGGAATGAAAGACACAAAAACAAATTACATTTAGGTTATTAAATATTAAGTCATTGGATTTATCTCCGCTTGGCCCAAAGCAGGAAACTGGAAAATATTCAACATTGATATCATTGTGTTGATGGGGCTGTTTATCATTGAGTAACTGACTGGATTTTGGCAGGTCAGACAGGTCTTTGACACATGAATAGGGGTGGGGAATGCACTTGCAATCATCCCCCACACACTCATACAAAAAAGAATAATTAATTCAGCAAGCAATTCCGGCATGCTTATGAATGTATACAAAACCAAAATTGCTTACATTCAAGAGAGGGTCTCGCTCGGCGAGTGGGACTTTCAACCTTGTATTGACATTTGCGGGCCTGGTTTTGCTTCCAGTGAACAAGGTGGAAATTTTGATACTCTTTCCAGGAGAAACAGGCTGAGATCCCGGAAGCAATGTAGACAGCACTTTGTATTTAATGCGCAAAACCAGAAGCAACAGGCTCATTTAGTATCAGTAAAGGTCAGTTAAAATTATAGAGACATCCTTTGGAGCAAATCCCCTGCCTTCTATTTGCATATTTATGAACTAGAGATTACGACAGCCCATTCCATTTATTAGAGCAGCGATGCTATAGTTAATAGTCTGTCAGGGTTTCCATTATAAACCCCCTTTTTTTCAGGGTTTTAATATCCCAGCCACTTGAAATCATGTCAAGCAAGCAAGTCACTTTTGTTAAGCCAGGTGCAGTCATTTTCCCCCCTGTTTGTTTTTGCTTAATTTAAAATTAAAATAGATTTAAAGGAGTTTGGTCTTCTCTGACTTCGAAGGAGCAACAAGAGAATGGGAAGGTTATTTTTGTTGCTTTCCTACCTTCATCTCTGTGGCATGTGGGAACAAAACAGTAGTTCTCACATGTGATATGCCAAATTCTTCTTAAACTGTGTCAAATTTATTTTGAGTTGAACCTGTGGATTATTACATTACCTATTGCTTAAATCACAGATCAATTAAACTAGACATTTTAAAAAAAATTCAGGACAATCTTGTACGTGTTTGCTGAGAAGGAAATCCTATTGACTTCATTGTGACTTATTCAGTGATAGGTTGATAGGATTGCAATCCCAATAGACTTTAAACCATCTATATTTGCTGCTTTTACTGTTCTGTTGACCAACTTTCCTGAGAAGACTTTACTCCTGTTTTGCAAATGGAGGCAACCCTGCTTCAATGGTAGAGGAAACTCATATCCCACCTGAATTAAACATTGAAACTTCAGATTAGGGGCTTCCAATGAACTTTATTATGCAGTTGCCCTGTTTTATTCACCAGCTCCTAGGAGGGCCCAGAGCAAACTTAAGAGTCTTTGAATATAACACTCACATGCCTAGAACAAGTCTGGCCGGTAGATCTGTTGTAGTCAAAAAAAGTAAGTTATCCCATTCTGCTCCAGAAGACATTGTGTTACATTTGTAAAACATCCATGTTTTCCTCCACTTGACCCTTCAAGGTTATTGTTATTTGTTAATTGGAAAAACAGGGAATAGCTGGAAAATGCTTTCTATGTGGACACACCCTGGATTACTAAAAGGACAGCTATATGTATACCCAACAGTATTTCTTTTGACTTCAGGAGGACAACTCGGAGTACAGTACTGTATAGCAATTTCAATGCTTGTGTGTAGCTTGAATGTGTGATTCTGAAATATTTAAGCAGAAATTGTTGTAAGAATCGCAGATCACAACAGGCTGTTGATCAACAATTAAACACTCTGCCTCTGACACTAGCCAGTTGGATGTCCCTGCCCAGCATGGCAAGATGGAGATAGATTTATCCCTTTTTTGCTTGTTTTAGTAACCACCAATGATAATAAAGGTATTGGTGTGTGGACATAGTCTTTTTGGGAATTAGTCTGCCCATATCATCTGAAATCAAGGGAACATAATCAAGGATTATTTTTCAAGTGACTGTGGCAAATAACAGTCCTTCTTAATTTTAGCTTAGCTAAAATTCAAGAGCCCAGCTTCACAATGTTTTGTAGTTTGTGTTATGGGCACAGTTTCCACTAAACAGGTTTCCACTAGGTCCCATTGATTTAATGTAGCTGTAAATGACCTTCACAACTTTTGAATGGCTTTCTGGGGGGCCTTGGCTTTTGATGGTTAATTTCATTTGCAGTGAATGTTTTCAGCCTTGGATACATGTTTGCAGATTAAGCATCCCCACCCCCCACTTCCAATCTGGAAAAGCAATAATAGGCAAGTCCTATAGATCTGATTGAGGACTATTTGTCTAGCCTCATTGTGGTCTCTTGATAGCCAAATATCCTAAGGCTGCAGAGGCAGTTCTAAATATTTTCATATGAGCTAATAAATGGAAGACCTTTCTATAAAAACAGCCCGTTCCCCTTCATACCTGGACAGTCATCTTAAGCTATAAGCCTTCCTGTTTTCTCTCCCCACTTCTGGCCATTGTTCCAGGGGGGAAAAAATCCTGAGACTTCAACCAAAGAATGAGAAGAAATATGAAACTTGGAAGGGCAACTATGAAGTAACAAGGGAAGAAACCAAGTGTAAGAATGTGTCACTGGAGACCAAAGGCAAGATCATCAGCACAATTGTATTTCCAGTTACTAGGTATGAATTTGAAACTTAGACAATGAAAAAGCTGAAAGGGAAAAGATTGATTCATTCAAACTGTGGAGCTGGAATAAAGCTTTACAGACACACTGGACCTCCAGTAAGACAAACAAGTAGACCTTGGGACATATCAAACCTGAACTCTCTCTAGAATCAAAAATGAAAAAAACTGAAGCTGTCATACTTGGGGAACATTGTGAGAAGACAAGACTTGCAAGAAAAGACAATAATGGTAGGAAAAGTTGAAGGCAGCAGGAAAAGGGGAAGACTCTATAAAGGAAGGCACAGGTTTGAGTTAGCAGGAGGTGAACAGGACTGCTAATGACAGAACATTTTGGGGGTCACTTGTTCATAGGATTGCTGTGGGTCAGAAGCAATTTGAAAGCAGATAACAACAACACAACTTCTTTCTTTCCAGTGTTGAGACATGGATGCATTCATAAATAATGAGACTGATATAAGGGTTCAGAATTAAGTTTTGTACCAGATTTTTGGACAGACTTTTCTCCACTAGATGCAATGAAGCCAGATTCTACAAATGATGCCTTCTGATCTCCAAACATTACTTGTAGTGTACAGATTCATTCAATTTTCTTTCCAGATGAGTTTTAATCTATATAGAAGAAGCAAATGAGTTTTGTACACATAAGGCAGGAAGCAATATCATGCCAGAACTATGTTAAAATATATATACGAGTAGGATAGGGTATGCGACAATGTTTTATTTAAACTATATTAAACCTGAAGGCCAACTTGGCAGCAGTGTTCACTGCATACTTGCTTTGCTATACATTGTTTTTGTTTTGCAGTGGGGGTGGTGGAATGAACATGCCAGACAGAATCTTAATGTGTGCCAGAAGACTAATTATTATATAATTAGGCACAATAGGATGTGTGTGCAATTGAGTAATAACATTCTAGGTGTGTCAGACAGGTAATGTCACTGCCAACACTCATTTAGATATGAATTAAAATTATGCAATGATTTACACCTTAAGCAATTGTTGGAGTTACCATCAACAGTTTAAAGCCTAATTACTTTAACGAATATTTCATAGTTTGTTTTGTGTGTTTTTAATTATGGCTTCTCACCAAAGGAGAAAAAAGTAGAACAGTCACTAGCTATATAAGATTGTGTCTCTGACAGCAACAGGATTTGTAGTGCTTCACAATTAAAGTGTGTCTTTACCCATGCACGCACGCACGCACGCACGCACGCACGCACACACACACACACACACACACACACTTGATAAATAGCATGGAACTTTGATCATAAAATTGACTGTTTACTACACACACACACACACACACACACTTGATAAACAGCATGGAACTTTGATCATAAAATTACGTTTCAGGGAGAATAACATTGAAGAACTACCCCTTCCTTATTCATTCACCTTTATTTCAATTTTAATCATACTTGTTTGAATTAAGCCCTACTGCATTCACAAAGACTTGTTTCCTAATAATTATGTTTAGGCTTAGGCTAAGTTTAAGTATAAAAACACATCCTGCTCAGGGATCAAAGATGAAATAAGTTGCAAAAATTTTATTACTTGTGACTCTTCATGACTAGAAATTTCTCCATGCTATTCCTTGCCACACGAAAATATTCTTCCCCAGCAGCAGCAGCTTCTAGAGATGAAGGGAGAGAAAAGGCTTGTCTTCTCTCAACAAGAAACAAGCAAGTAAACACCTGGTTTTAGCTACCTGCCATATTGCATCTTTGATGGACTTACAAGCACAAAGCTAAAACCGTAAAAGTAATGCCTTAAGACTTCTTGGATGGGAGGGTATGTCCATTCACTTATTGCCTAAAATACCACTAATGACACAATAAACAGAAAGCTGGGTCCAGATCTAGAAAAACCTGCGCCAGAATCTCTGTTCAGCATTAAAACTTGTGTCATTTTGAGCCACCTACTTTCATCTGATCTAACCTAAATCATAGGGCTGTCATCAGGGTAGAGTGGATAATCCCTAGATATGCTCACATGTGCTCTCTATAGGAAGTGAGACATAAACACAATTATTAATAACCTTAACACCAAAGGCCATGGCAAAGGCTTGGATGAAGTCCACACAGTGCACTGTATGACCTTTGATTCCCACTGTAGCACTATAGCTTATCTTGTTCTTATCCTACGATATCGTTGTGGCCTAGATTCAGAGTCATCAACAGACTCCAAGTCCTGAACTGCATATCTGGCTGTCTCCCTCTTCTTTGCATAAGTAAAGCAAGTTGAGTCATCTATCTGAAGCAAGGGAAAGAGCTACCTTCTCCCTCAAAGATGGCTCAGCAAGGTCATAAAGATGATGGTGATAAAATGTTGGGAAACCTAAGATATCTGTGTTGTTTTTAAGGCTTTTAAGAACATTGAGAAATGCTTGAGATAGAAATGAAGAGATTGGAAGAGAGAATAGAGCCACAGATTAATGAATTTAAGTATCAATGATGGTTAATTGTAAATTCTTTTTATATATATAACAATTACATCCTTGAAAGAATGTCAGTTTTCCTAGAGAAAGGTCAATTTGCCTGGATTACCTAGATAGGAAGGCTATATCTATCTGGAGTCAGAAATGCTTAACAGTATAAGAAGGTGAAGTTCTATAATAATGTAGGAACACAGAGATTTGTCTCATCAAAAATGGGAGAAAGGTGTGTCTTTACTAGAAAATGACAGGAGACCAAAAGGGAGCTAATTTTTGTGTATTTCGTTATTACAAAATCCTGTCTTTTGCTTATGATCGCCTTTATGGCACCTGGAGAAAACCTTATTCAAGAACCACATTTTATGGAAAGAAAGATGGAATTCGTTACCACTGGTTAAAAGACTAAGAGAGAAACAGAAAGTGGTCTTCGGAAGTGAAAGAAACCTTGAGAGGAAGCAGCAGAGCAGACATGACAAAGAAGAAATCCTCATACCATAAAATCTATACTGCTGTTCTTTATCCCACTTTCACCTGAAAGGACTTCAATGTGGCTGCACATTTCCTTCCTTCCAGCAACGTAAGCATGTGTGTTTCCTCTTGAAAACTGCTGAGCCATATGCTGGTTGGATCCTGCATATGAAAACAATTCTGTGAAAGCAGTCCCCCTTGCACATCTCCCTCCTGACCACCTGGCACCATGTAGAGAATCTTTGGGTGGGTCAGCTATGTTCTGCACAACACTGAAGCGCTGGAACGGTTAGGTTTTTGGTGTGCAACTCGCTCATTTCAGAAAACTATCTTTGGCTCTTCCTCCTTCCTTCCTTCCTCTAATTGGTGAGTGGTTAAATCAAACCCTCATGCTTGCTAACCCTATGAGTAAAATGTGACTGGTTCTGAAGTGAAAATGGGAACCCTTAATGTTTATCAAATGCTCTGCATATGGTTTCCCGATACAGTACAAGCTGAATTATTGCTGACTGAAAGTTTGCTGGAGATAATGACCCAAGTCTCCTGGAGATGCAGAGCCTTTTCCTCCTGCAACAGCCCTTCTATTTAACCAGAAACTTCTGCTGTTTCTGAAATCTTTCTGTGCACCTGTACACGTGGCATGAGCTTGAACTCTTGACCTCCACCAGTGCCTCACTGAAGTCTGTTGAAGGAAGTGAAAATTATTCACAATGTCTGCTTCAAGCTTTTGGTCGGATTCAATTGTATATACTAATTTAACTTTGCCACTGGAGTAATAAGCCACGTAATTTATTCCCAGCAAGAAAATGTGTTGTGAGCTAGAGAGCCACAAATTAGTATACTTAATGTGAAATGGGAAGGGATCTGCTTTCTTGACCTGGCTTCAGACAATTCCCTCATCAACAGAAGATGGAACGATGAGCAGGTCGCTCACCTGGATGTAGCAAGAGTAGGGTTGGGGGACATGTTAAGAAAGTCACTGATACCTTTTGCAGAGTAGGGTTGGGGGACATGTTAAGAAAGCAGCCTCAGTCACTGATACTTTTTGCCTTTTTGGACTACAGTTCCCAGAATGCCTCAGCCATCATGGCTCTGCTGGCTATGGGGCTGTGAGAGCTGTAGGCCAGAAACACAACATTTTGCATCTGTGCCTCCAGCACACTTCAAGAATGCCTCTATCACTGGAGCTCACCCCTCTGCCTGCCTGAGGACCATTCATGGGGACTTAGATGAACCAACAGAAGAACACCTCTTTGCTGGTAGAATAGCACTTCCACATCTGGATTTTACTGAGGATTAGACTGAGGACAGAAGGTCACAGGCTAGGTATTTTCATTCAGTAACTGGGCTATGACTGACACAGCAAAAGATTGTTGTGTGTACTGCATCCCTCAGTATGAAGTTCAGACAGCAGAACTCCTTTAGACACTTTGGAGCAGTAGTAGAGAGGAGGTTCTGAGGAGACCGTGAAGAGTGAAAGACAAAATGGCTAGTCAGGTATTAGCCATCTGTTTATACTCACCATATATAGAAGAGAACACTCTGCTCTCTTCATCATAACTTCTGTTGCCCTCCTACATGTACATGTACAGGGCACCAGGCCTGAAGACAGCTCTGGTCTCTACAGGACCTCTCCATGTAAGTGGGGACTCTGGACTATCTGGGCTTCATGTGGAGAGACCCTGTAAATAGCAGAGATCTCTCTCTTTAGATTTTACCCTTTCTGTGTATGAGATGATGAAACTGGGCAGAAGGAGGGCTAGAATGCCCTCTTCTGTGCTTGTTGAATATACACAAATAGAGAACATCCGAACAGGGCTATGAAAAAGAAACCCAAGAAAATACTGGTGGTAACAACACTGTTCTTTCTTTCCATAGTTAACAATTCACAACGGCTTCTCAATAAACGAAGTGCCAGCGACGGAGCTTAC